GCAGAATGAACCAATGTGAAGACAGAATTTCAGACATAGAAGATAAAATTGCAATTAGTGACCAGGAAAAGAAAAATTGCTTTAAAATTGTAAGGGACCATGAGAAATCAATCCAGCAGCTGCTACACGCTGCAAAGAAGAATAACATAAGACAGATTGGAGTCAATGAAGAAGCAGGAGAGAGTGCAGATGACATAAAAAAATAACTTCACAGAAGTGATGGCAGAAAACTTCCCAAACAGGGGGAAAGAACTAGACATACAGATAAGTGAGGCATATGGGACTCCAACTAGCCTCGATAAAAAAAATCTACACATAGGCATATAATAGTTAGGAATCCAGAAACTCAACAAAAGAACAAAGTTCTACAATCAGTGAGAGAGAAGAAACAAATCACATACAAAGAAAATCCCATCAGAATCACAGCAGACTTCTCAATGCAAACCCTCAAGGCAAGTAGAGCTTGGAGCAACAAAGGAAAACCACCTCCAACCCAGACTGATGTACCCTGCAAAACTATCTTTCAAAATTGATGGAGAAAGAAGATACTTTCATGAGAGCACCTTAGGAACTTCGTGAATACCAAACCAGGACCCCAAAACATTTTAGACAACATTCTAGGAAAAGACAATGAGGATCACAACCCCAGGAAACCCAGCAGAATGAATCCGTTGGGCATGACAAATTAAACACAAAAAGGGAGAATCCAACGAAAAGAAAAAGACATGACAAGGCTTTTAAAACTTTTAACTTCATCTCCCTAATGACTGTATAATTCAATCTTGTTATTGTACTGATTAGTATTTTTCTGATTCTAGTGTTGCACACCATTCCTTGTGCTGTATTGGCTGTTTATCATCTTCTTGTGTCTACTTTTTAATTGGGTTGTCTATTAATGAGCTGTAAGAGTACTATATATATTCCAGTCATAGGTTATGTGCATTGTAAATATGGTGTGTTTAAGGACTACTTTTCATTTTGATGATGTCATTTAAACTTCTAAATTTTGATGGAATTGCTTTTGTCAATGTTTTTCTTTTATACATTATGTCTTTTGTATTCTAGGAAGTTCTTGCCTACCCTAAATTCATAAATATTTTCCTCATAAATTCTTCTTAAAGATTTATAGTTTTAGTCTTTCATGTTTAGTTTCATAGATCCTTTCAAGTTACTTTTATTTATAGAAATAAAGGGTTGAGATTAATTTTTTATATACAGATACCAGGTGTTCTAGTGCCATTTGCTGAAAACATTATCTTTTCCTCTGCTCTTGAATTGAGTTTATGTTCTATAAAATGTTAATGTTTAATAATATTTCAAGACTCAGTGGACCATATATATGTGGTTCTATTTCTAGATTCTCTGTGTTATTCCAATGATCTATATGTCTTCCCTTACACCAACACAGCCTTGATTACTGAAGCTTTTGAGGAAGTCTTAAAATTAGGTACTAAACATCCTCCAACACTATTTTTCTTTTTTTTTTCTTTTAACTTTTCTAGTTCTTTTGTATTCCTATGTAACTTTTAAATTTCAATATCCAATTCTTCATTTATAGCAAGTATATATAGGCCTGAATTTTTATATATACCTTGTGTTTTCTAATCCTGTTAAATTCAAATACAAGTTCTAGGGGCTCCTAGAGATTTTTTTTAGTATTTTCTCTGTATATGATCATATAAAGATTTTGCACATATAAAGATTTTGCTTCTACCTTGCCAATCCTATCCTAATTCTGTCATTTTATTGCCAGACTATTTTGGTTTAGGCCTATGTTTCAAAGTTTAATGGATAGATGAAGAATATGCATATCTTCCCTTGTCCCCATTTCCCTTTGGGGTTGCTGTAGGTGATCTGGAAGTCTGGTTTTGAGACTTATTTAAGTGTTTTCTCATTTTGACTGGTGGGGGGGGCTGTTGGCACCTGCATGGATTACCTCCTCTGAACTGGGAGAGGTGGGATGGGGCTGGGAGCGGCGGTAGGGATGGTGGCCCAAAAGCCCTTTCCTGTGGGCTGGGAGCAGCAGGAGGGATGGTGGCCGGGAAGCCCCTTCCTCTGGTCCAGGAGCAGTGGGATGGTGGCTCCGAAGCCCCTGCCTCTAGGCTTGGAGCAGTGGGAGGGATGGTGGCCCAGAAGCCCCTTCCTCTGGGCCAGGAGCGGCAGAACAGAACATGGCCCAAAAGCCCTTTCCTCTGGGCTGGGAGCAGTGGGAGGGATGGTGGCCGGGAAGCCCCTTCTTCTGGACCATGTGCAGTGGGACAGTGGCTCAGAAGCCCCTACCTCTGGGCTAGGAGCAGTGGGACTCAGTACCATGGTCTCATGGTCTGGTGACCTCTCCATCTTTGTAGTGTGGAACCAGGTGGCTGTACAGAGGAGTGAGGGTGGCAGTCCAGTGGATTGTTGCCAGGGTGCTGGCTGATTCGGTGTGTTCCACATGACTTGGGACCTCGGTAGGGCATGCGCAGACCTGCCTGTCTGCAGCTGGCTGATTCGGTGTGTTCCAAGTGACTCGGGACCTTGGTAGGGCATGCGCAGATCTGCCTGTCTGCAGTGGGCTAATTCGGCATGTTCTGCATGACTTGGGACCTCTGTGGGGTGTGTGCAGACCTGCCTGTCTGCAGCAGGCTGATTCGGCATCTTCTGTGCAACTCTCTAGATATTTCTTAACAGTAGGACAGAAATCCTCCCTGATCCCCTCAATGAAAAGTACCCTTGTTACCCAGGCTTTTGCATTAGATCTCCACATCTAGCCTATTCTTCATGACTTTATGTTTTCTGAACACTTTGGGGGTTCAGAGGGCTAAACCAAGAGAGGCTTTATCTTGAGGTCACCACACGTATTGGCAAATGGCAATAAGGTTAGCCTATCCTTCATAGGCTTGTAGCCTGGCATTTTCTTCTCTTCCTGGGTAATGTATGTTCTCCTGGGCATTTTCTTCCAGAAAAGACCAGCTTCATCTCAGTTGAAAATTTAATGAGAGAAAAAGCCATTTCTCTGTGTCACTGTCTTGAGGTGGTGTATGTAATTTTCAGCAGCCCTTTTATTAGCACTGGCTGCTTCATCATTCCTTGTTATGCTATGAACTCCAATTACTTTAAAATAGTGAAACCACCCCTTAAAGGCCCAAAAGGTTCACCAGTATCACTTGTTGATATATTATTCTTTACAAGATCTGCATTTATAGCCCTAGCTTTTTCAAAAATTATAGATGCAGATAGGCTGTAACCTGCCACCTTCCTTCAATTTATCCACACTGATAATAGCCTTTCTACATTGACTATCACTGTTCATTGTTACTCAGTAATTTGAGTAACACTTTTAGCAACACTAGTTTCCTCATACCAATCTTTTCTCTGTAAGATTGTCAAAGATGGTAGGTTTCAACATGCTGTACATATTAGCAAGATAGGTCACATGAACACCACGCTCATATTTCTCCTCAATTTCCCTCTTCTTTTTTATTGTGATTGCTTTCTTTACTTTATCTTCCTTCCTTAGCTTCTTTTCTAGCTTTTTTGGAGGTCATTTTGATAGCAGTAATTGTAGCGATTATATAAAGCACTAACTGAAATCACATCCACAAATATGCACATCTGGGCTCAGGTTGATGCTCACATACACTTTTATGGCATTGTGAGTCCTTGTTTACAACTACACAAGCAACTGGTATTTGGGTCATAACTCAAGATGTTGGTCATGAGTTAAAACTAAAATTCCAGTCATAACCTAAATTGTTTGCATATGATCCCAGTCATAAATTGAGGGTCCACTGTAGTTTGTCCAGAGTAAGCCTCTGTTCTTTAGCCTTCAACTCAGAGGAATTCACGGGAAGTTAGTCTAGTTGAGCCCCCAATTATGTACAGTCCAAATATTGATAAGCAATGAGAAGCTGGAAAGTACTCAGTTTATAGCCTCTGTCTGAAGGAGAGAGGTGACCTTGTGAAATAAGAGCATCTAAGGTGTGGGCCTTGGCCATGTCCTCTGCTGGGAGGGCAGAGGGAAGCAGTGAGGAATGAGAGAAAATCACTAAGGTCACTCCACATGTACACACTTAGTCTTGTTCTGTGACATACTCCCAATATCTTTAAGCATTCTTTCCCCAACTCTAGTCAAGGCTGTTCTAAATTAATGTGGAAAATAACTACACTCTGATAATTTAAAAATAAATTAGATGCTTCATAAACATTGCACTCTAGGCAGAAAGAACGTGACTCCTCAGTGTCCAATCATTTTTATAGTCCTCAAAATCTTACTGACGATGTAAACTAAGACTTGTCCCAAGAATAGGTTTGAGTCATGATGTACAGTTGAAGTCTTGTCACTTTCAGCAAAGGAAAATGGGACTTCCTTATAAAAAGAAGAGAATGAGCCTGCAGTCTGGATTAACAGAAAGTCAGAACTTGTAGTGGATATTGACAGCATGTACTTCAATAGGTGACTGTATTTTTACTCTAAAATGTCTCATTTCATTGGAGGGTAATATTTTGTCTACTCTAGTAAAATAGAGATTATCTCTAAATGATTACAGTGTTTGGTCACATGAGGAAAGCTTGGTTGGGTTTGAACTTTTACAGCACCTAACACTCATTATATTGATCACAGAGGCTACTCTCTTCTTCAGCCTCTCTCCCTCTCTCTCCTCATTTTCATCTCTTTCTGATTAAGTCTTGGAGTTAAAATTTTTTGTATACTATCCCAAATTTTGTTGACTTTATCTCATCTTTTCCTTCTTTCTCCCTACATTTCTCCCTCTACTCTGATATATCCCAGAACACTTCTACATTTTTGTTATTTTCCCATGCTTTCTTCTCTGTACATTTAATTGTTTTGTATAATTTTACATTCATTATTATAACTTTTTGTTTGCATTTGGGTCTTTCTGTGATAGTAGGGAAACACTTTCTTAATGATTGTGTTACAATCTTTGTAAAATTCATAAAGAAATATCATCTGGTTATATTTCAAATCAAAATTTATTTATTGTTGTTGATGTCAGCAAATGAAAGCTGGCAAAAGAGCTGGAAATGTTTCACCTGCATGTTTATTGTTCTTAGAGACATGGAACTTTCCTTTTGATGGTTTTGATGGTTTCATTTTATCCTAGGCTTAACAGGTTCTTGATAGTCTGAAAAGATAACAGGTGTTGGAATAGGTATAAGAATCCACCATGGTCTACAGCATTTCCACCTTCTCCGGCAGCCACCAATTTCATCTTCTGTTAGTTTGCAGGTGGTTCTTCTGCAGATGCCTGATAGATTGACACAGTGGCTTTCAGCAGGACCCAAACCACTTCTAACGGCAGAAGAAGAAATCTGGTGAAATGGTCAGCCTGTGGATGGAATGTTAAAGCCATAACAACTCTTATGTATGAGAACAGAATAATTCTGGTATGAGTTTCTGTATGGGGAAAAACCCAGTTGAAAGATTTAATTATCAACTGTATCAACCTTCTAAGTTTGCTCTCTTTACTCTGTACAGAACTGCTCAGGTACTGACAACCCCTTCATTTGCTGTCTAATAAACTCAGGATGTCTAATTAAAGTTTCAAAAATATTTTGATAAATATAAAAGTAGAACTAATGTTGGGTAGACAAAATATGTCCTAAATTCATTAATTTCTTCATTACTTTATTCTATTATATAAATTTTCACCAAGTATTTACTGAGTGCTCTTTTCCAGACATTTTTCTTTATAAGAATAAAAAAATAGAATGGAAAAAACCTTCCTTAATGACACAGAATATATATTCAATGAACAAAATTCTAACTATACAAAACTAAAACTAACCATACAAAACTAGAAAGCTGTAAGTGCTTAAAACATAAAACACAATAATGGACCAGATACATTTTGAAATATGGAATTGGTAGAAGGGGCACAGAATGCTTTAGGAGACAGCATTTGAACTGATTTCAGAATGATGAGAATGCAAAAGATAACAAAATGTATGGTGAAGCCACTGCATATATAGAATAGCAACTTTAAGGTCATCTGCTAAGTTTATTTAGAGAACAAAAAGGGAGGATTTTGTAGAAAAAGCAAATTGGAAAATAAATTAATTTTATAAGAAATAAGGTGAGATAAAAATTATTTTAGATAAAAATAAAGCAGAATGCATGGCTTGTAAGCTATGGTCAGATTACAGGTTAACATGCATCATATTGCAATTGTCTTGCATCAACTTCTTTTACAACTCAACTGGAAATTCTTGTTTTTAAATGATACTTTACCTTTTCCGTATCCTTTTTTCACTCTCTCCCTTACCATAGGGCTAATTTCAAAGTTTCATGGAACAATACTGTGCAGTGCTATGGCTTGTGTCTAGATGTCCCTCCAAATCTTCATGTGCTCATAGGTGGGCCAGTTGTTTCCAAGAACCAGATGTTTCAGGTGACCTTGGACCACCTTGCAATTACTATACTCAGGCTTACCTTTTACCAGGCTTCTCTTACTCATTATTTTTATCTTTCCCTCAAGGCCCTACCTGCCTAGAGTCTCTGTAAGTGCATAAACTCTGTTGGACAGTTAGAAAACAGCCAGTAATTTTTTTACTCATTGTTCATTATTTAATCTTTAAAAATGAACTACTTACATTTTTCTTATGATTTCCCCCTTTTCGTAACTTTTTAGTTATTTTATCTTTATTTAGATTTTTTTGTTTCTAAGTCATATTTACTGTTGTTTTCATCAATCTTGGTGCTAATCTTTGGATGCAGTAGATAATGTAGCACTCTACTGTAGTCAAGACTCCTGTCACAATCGTAAGAGAAGTGAAGATTGAGGTTATCATCACTTTTCACTTTTTAAAACCATGGTTTTTAACTACTCCATGAATGGATCAACAATTTTAACATGTTTTGTCAATTTATTGGCCAACATTGTTTATCCCTATAAGAGTTTTGTGACAATTCCACCTGGAGCTGTATTATTGGGAATGACATATTTCCCACTCAGCATGACATTGACACCTTTTTTATGTTAGCATCATAGCTAGTGTAAGTCTATTTTTCCAGACCATCTGACTGATGGCATTTAGCTGGCTGGATACTCCTTGTAGGCCCTCTCTCATATAGTTGATGAATCTGTTGATTATTATATATAATTAATCTAATTTACATTTTTATTAATGGTGGGCCACCAGAAGCTATCTGATTTTGTGCCTTAAATGTATTGGGAACTCCTCTGGGCACCCCGATTGAATCAACATATGCATGAGTGTTAGAGGATCCTGGTAAAGGTCTTTGAGTTTGAGAAGTCTCTTGTGTTGAGACCTGACAGAACACCAGTGTTAAAGGGATAGCCAGCTGGACTAAGGCACACATCCTACTCAAATTTGGTGGTAGCAAACCACAGAGGTTTCTTTTTTTAAAATACCACCAGACATCAGCCTGGGGAATTAGATGCATAGTTGCTTGGCCAACCAGTGACATTTAGGATATGGGTGCAGGTAGTCCAGCCTCCTATGGGTTCAGTGAATTGTTCTTCCCACCTAGAGAGACAAGAAGAGTAATTCACATTCCCTATGAAAAAGGAAGGATCTCCTTTTGATCCATTTCCCTTGGCACAAGGAAAAGCAGTAACAGACTCTTAGAAGTCTCATTTCCCCGAGCGCCCTTTTCCTAATGTAAGGTCAGCTTACAACACATTTCATCAGGATCAGTGTCCCATCCTACAGGGAAAGGAGCCTCCTGTGGCTGTGACACAGCAGTCATTGTTGCAAAGAGTTTGCACTGAAACTTTTACCCACTCAACCCAGGCATCCATCACCCCTCATCCTGTCTCAATCTCTAAAGTCTATCTTAGGTTCCTTATTTTAACTGCTTTTATCTTTGTAGGATCATTTTTCTGTGAGTTAGGATCTAAGGCTGGAGTAGCTGTTAACTGTTACATTTAACCCTAAGGCCAAACCTGCCTACAGCATCTGATCCTGTGACATTTGTTCCTAACCTGTATTCTCAAGGAGCCACTTTGTCTTGGTCTAGAATGGCTGGGTTGTTGATAACTATGAGTATTCTAGGTCTTGGCAGTTATTTGGAGGAGAGCCCTTGGATGTGTGTAATCCACCTTTTGGGGGTTTCACACTTGGTGTTTCCCAATTGTCACCTGCTGTCCATCCCTGATATTGGGTGATTGATCAGACATCATTCCAGCTGACACAAGGAGAGTTAGAGTAACCTGAACTGGGTTTGGGGATTTTCCACCTGTGAGAGTTGTCTTTGACTATTTTAACTGTGATAAGATAGAACTTGGCAGGTATAAAATCTCAAAGTTAGATCTATGGTTTTAGTTACATTAAGTATCAGCCCAATGGGGTAATAGAGATTCCCTTTAAAATTTCCCAGGCCACCCCAACCTCTAGTTTTTTATATCCCAGCCAAATTAGCTTCCAGAAAGGAGACCAGATCATATTTTCTTTCTTTTATAGAGTCATTTTTAACTTTCTTAGGTGACCACAATAACTCCCAACGTTCCGCTACGTGTCCCTTGAAACAAATACAGTTAGACCACCCCTTTCTGGAAGTCCTCATGGCCATCTCAGTGTTCAGGAACACTTATTGATAAAGGTATTTATTGCTGTGAAATTTTCCTAAAAACTTTTTGTTGCATCTCATAAAATCTGGAATGTTGCACTTCCATTTTGGCTTTCCTCTAGACATTTTTATTTTTCATTATTGACCCATGCTTTTTCAAGAACATGGTGTGTAATGACCATACATACAAGAATTTTCAATACTTTCTTCTAGCAATGATTTCTACTGAAATACTACTTGAAGATTTCAACATTATGTTTTTAAGAATTGTTTTATTGTGTTACATAGAATCTCTTATGGAGATCCACATGCACTTGAGAATAATGAGTATTTTGCTGCTGTTGAGTGGAATCTTCTCTAGATGTATGTAAAGCATGTTTGATTGAAGGTGTAGTTCAACCTTTACATTTCATTACTGATTTTTTTCTGGATGATCTGTCTTTGTATTCACTCTTTCTTCTGCAAATTAATGTAGAAAGCTCCTTGTTACGTTGTTCATTTCACCCATTATATTCATGTCCAGAAATTTTTTGTGATTTCATTTTCTCTGTTAAATATCACATTTTACTCACTATTTATTTTCTGTTTTTGTTCAACTGTTTCTCTATATTTTCTTGATGTTTCCTGAACTTACTTACAGCTATTATTTTGGATTCTTAATCATATAGTTCATACATTTGGGGTCAGATACTGAAAAATCATTTGCTCTTTTAATAGCATTTTATTTCCATGGCTTTTTAATGTTTTTGTTGTCTTATATTGAAGTCTGCCCTTTTGATGGGGTGGTGACCTTCTTCAGACTTCACTGCCTAAGATAGTCCTTCTCTGTAGAATGGTACAAGGACACCAGCTGGATGGGGATCAGTAGCTATTGCATTGGTGAGAATGCAGCAATGATGCTTCTGTGCAGCCCTGTCAGAGGTCACCATTGCTGAATACTGCAGAGTCCCATGGCAGCCAATGCTCTAGATGTCCACAATGGCACCAATGGCTGTTAGGGTCCCCTCAGTTACTTTTGTTCCAAAAAAGCAGACAAATCTGTCCAGGAAATCTCTCTTGCACTGGGTTGCCTATTTACTTGGCATTGGTGGTGGCCCTGGTGTCTTATCTGTGGACTCAGTAAAGTGGACACAAAGCCCACACTTGTAGCATCTGATTGTGTGTTGACTACAATACTGGGGTTCTGGACTGGTAATGGCATGCACATTCAGGGCACAGGCACCTTGCTGCCATGTTGGTAATAGTATGTGAACTAAGGCTGCTTTTGAAGAGGCAAGAAGCTGAAGTCAAGAGCAGGAACATGAATGCAGTTACAGTATCTGCAGGGTTGGATGAAGTGTAGAACTCCATGTGACTGAGATTTATATCTGTAGCATAGTTATGCATAGAAGGAATTGAGTGCAAAATGCCAGGCTAGTGTTAGCTCACTATAGAGATGTGGAGAGTAGCACTGGTGCCAGAAGTATGATTTGTAGCATGCACAGCCATAGTGGCTGCCTTATGTGATGCCTAAGTCAATTCCCTATGGTGTCTAAGCTGGTAAATGTAGCACAAGCATGCACAGAGAGACCTTAGCTCAGAGGAATGGTCTGTGACCTCAATGTAACAATATCTCCAGTGTCTGAGTTGTGGATAGGGGCTGTGCAGAAACAGGTAGTTTCTGGGTGTGGATGTGCTCAGAGGAATGTGTTTGTGAGACAAAGCATGTCCAGAATTAGGGAAGGTGACATCTCTGATACTGGAGTGGCAAAGCTGCAACCGTTTATTTGACAGAGGTAGGAATTCTGCAGCC